TGGCCCCATTAAGCGTTTTCAATTAATACCGAACATATCAGTTGAAATGACACGAAACAGCAACCGGACTGTTGGTAGGGTTCGTGTTGCTCAGTCTATAATTTTCTATGTTTTGCTTTATAAGACTGATGTTTGTCCTTTCGTCATTTTTCGTTTTTTTGCCATGGTTTTGTCAGTCTCTTCTCGACTACTGAGGTTTGATTTCCCTTTTGGTAACTTCTGCCATATTTTTGTCAATGATAAGCTTTGCTTTGTGATTACGATGAACATTTTATTATATGTTCGAATTGGGTTCTTATATAGTTGGATAGAAACTTGTATCATTTTTAAAAAAGACCACCGGTAGCTGTATTAAACCACTCATAAAAAGGTAGATATAAAGGACGTACTACTTTAATAGTTATTTTGTATAAATAGTATAGGACAATTTACTGATTTATGTATTTCTTTATAATAGTAAAAACGTTATGTTTTTCATAATCAAAATATTGCGTAAAAATATCACTTAATTACACAAACTTACCTTTTCCATGAGTTTATTTGAAGCAGATTATCTGTTTATTTGACCTGTCGAAACAGCCTGTAGGTTTTTATTAAAATGAATTATCTAATAGATGTATCACAATATCGTTCTTTTCAAAAGCTCACTGGAATATTTTATGCTTTTCAGAAAATCTTGTTATCGAAAAGTAATTTATTATCATGTTGGTCATAAGATAACAATCTATTTAAGGCGACCTAGGATTAGTGTAAACAATATTTTATTATGAATTAAACAAATTACAATATGAATTTACATTCACTAAAATAGGATTCAGAAACAAGCAACAAGTGCTTATATAAATCTGTCTCCTTGTTAAATTGGATACAACATACAAAATTAAATCAAAACAAAATGCTCTGTTACATAATAAAAATATTGATAATGTCATTTGAGTTTGTTTATAATTAACTGAAAAAAAGAAAAAAAAACGCAACTATTAAGATGAAATGCTTACAGGTATATTGTGTGAATTATTAGTTTGTAAACCTTTCAGATTTAATAATGAATCTTTGTACCTTAAGAAATAAACAAATGCTTGCTTCGTTTGAAATCATATTTGAGCCGTTTAATAGTAATTCAATGTCCATTGGTACAGTTAATTGTAGGTTCCCAAATGACATTATCATTTTTTGTTTTGTGTCCGCATATAATAGGCAAAATAATAAAAAATGCGACCTAGGATTTCATCAGTCAGGTCTCTGATTTTAATGACATTAATATTTTAGCTACTAAAAAGCTCTAACAGTAGAGATATTGGTATCTTTAATTTGAAAAAAAGAAATTTACCAGTATAGAAATTAATTGTTGAATTAATTCCACCAACACAAAATTTAGTAAAGCAAGGCAACAGTAGTTAACCGATGTTCAAATCTCATAAATCGATTGAGAAGCCAAATCAAGGTTACAATCAAAAACTAAGAGGCTCACATGAAGGAAATGAGCGAGACCAGGTGCATCTGTAGCGTTAGCGTCTTCTGCTACGCATGCATTACTAGCGATACGAATCCACATTCAGTCAAAATGTAGCAATCGGGCAGAGAACACAACTGGTAAAAATTGCAGATAAAATATCTTAGACTGCAAACTCATGTCGCTAGTGAATTAAGACACAGACATATCGTATCGGCCAACCAATTCGTGATGGTGACAGCAAATTTTATGTAATAACATTAACGGTACTAATTTTTCGACACCAGAAGCACATTTCGACAATGTCTCTTCAGTGATGCTCGGGGTAAAAATATTTGAAAATAAAAAAAAAAATTGAAGAGCTTATAAACCAAAAAAGGACAAACGTATTGCCAAAGCCGGGCAAGGTATCAGAGCTTTGGATGAGGGAGATATATTTCTTAATTCATATATAACTTTCCCCCGCTATACACTATATAAATTATAATATTTTAAATTAAGACAGATGTCAAGCACCCCTTACACACTACATTACTTTGTTTAAACCACGTTTGTACCCGCTAGGTAACACATGTATATAACAAGGTGAAGCTTTTTTGTTCCTATCCCCATTCATTCTACATAAAAAGATGCCCTGTAGAAATATTGTAATGAGGTATATTTAGCCCTCGTTGTCTATCAGATGTGGATTCTTAAAAATTCTAAAGATAATCTCCAAATCTTTAATCACAATCTTTACAATTTTGCAGTTATATCAAAACCTTTCATTTCTACGCTTTACAATTCTAATCCTATGCTCAATTGAAACATTGATTACATCGTCTCATTAAGCAAAGCTTTTTCTACAATATATGGAAACACATTCCTTGTTTTTGGGTCATGCAAAATCTTACTTTGTGAAAGACCACTCTAATTCCCACAATAAATACATCGAATACTTAAACATCAAAATGCTGAAGTTTTTGATCGACAACATATTTGTTGAATTTTGTGGGTTGATATTTCAGCAGAAATTCGGTATTTCAATGACACAAATTGTGGACCTCTACTTGCCGATTTGTTTTTATACTCATATAAAGCTAAATGAATGCAGGGCCTTCTCAAAGACCAAATGAAAAAGCATACTGCAAAGTTCTTTAATTTCACTTTCAGATAAATTGATAATATCCGGTCACTCAATAACCCACATTTAAATGAGTGTTTACAAATAATTCATCCCTGTGAACTTAGTAGTGAAGTAACACAGATGGACGACTATAACTAAGAATCTATGACAAACGTTATGATTTTATCTTTCAAATTGCAGGCTTCCTATTTCATAGGAGTTACAAACCATCTGCTCCGTCGTATGGCGTGTGTGACGTTTTGATTGAATTTTGGCGTGTGATGAATGTATAGCAGCAGATGCTAGCCCTGTCGATGCACCCGATCTGGTTCCTTTTTTAATATATGCAATTTCCCAAATGTTTGTTTATAACATTGGTCTGTCTTTTCCTAATCGATTTACGTGACTCGCACATTGGCAAACCATTGTTGCTTAAATTTACTGATACTTTTTTGAGGAGTTTGATACAATATCATTACAAGGTAGATTAAGTAACACCCCCATCAAAATGAAATGAATAAATACATTGATATTACAGGAATCTAATTTTGAAAGGGGGTGTAACTATGAATGGTTAACAAGTGAAGAATTTTATAGATATCTGTATGAAACCTTTATGCTGACTTCTGGATGTGTTGCCTTTAAAATATTTGTGTCGTTGGGTTGCTGTTTCACTGACGTATACATTAGACAAAATTTTACGCGTACAAAATTGACTCTATCAAATAATTCAGTCAGAAAATCGCGAATTGATCCGATGTTGTTAGGTTTTGATGTCGTTGATAACGAATATTTGGTAATTCCTGCAAGCATTTCTATGTATTATAATAGATTTTGGTCGTTCCATTGTATATGCATACTATTAATTTATATAATGTGAGGGTGGACTTTCAGCAAATTGACCTAGTTGTCTTATTTCCAATGAAAGAATTAATTACTTTATTGAAACTCAGATTTACTCCTGTTCAATTTTAACTGATGTTACATAAATCATATTGTCTCTGTGATCGTCAATACAGTTTTCTATTGCTCAATATTTTTTTATGTTGCCGAAAGTATCATGTCGTTCATTTTGTTCTTTTAAAAGATCTGAAACATTACTAAACTTTCAATTGTCATAGAACTTTCACGATTTTCAATATTGCGAAATATATATAATCATTTAAGTGTTTGCAAAGAATCTGTAGCCCTTGTTTGATTAACGACATAAAGCGTTTTACACTTTGTAAAGATTGAATGTTGTCAATCCTCTGTTAACGAATTAAATTTAAGAATGGTGCAATTCAATTGGAAACTTTGTTTTCCTTCCTTGCATACATATTTTAAGATATTCTTTTGTTCATCGAAACAGTTTTAGAATTATCTATATATCTATCTACCCTGTTGATTAAACTATTGAGATTAAAGTTAAAGTTATCAACGGAAGAAATTTGAACTGGTAAAACGACTGATTGGTATTCTAGCGATCATTTAACTATATATTTTCTGAAGTATTTTTTTTAAGGAAAAGACGATAAGAACATTTGCTTAGTACATGCTGGGATGGAATGAGATTCTTTTATGCCGTCTGAGTACGCCCAGCTTCTAGCAATTTCAGAAAACACATGAAAATGGTCATGTTTAGCAAAATTCTGAACATGAGTGTTTATATATTGATGTGTTATAAAAAATTTAAATTGAAATAGTGATATATTTTGGATGAATAATGTACATATGAATTTGTAAGATATGTTTGTACAATTGTAAGTGTACACAATTACATTGTCAGGTTAAGATTCAGGGAACACGTTGCTCATCAAACGCGTGAATTACATCAAGAATCAGCGTGAAGTTAAGAATATTAGTATGGTAATGAAAATGACATGGAGCAAACGCGAAATAAGTCATCTGTTATCTGCTGGAATAACACATAATTCGCCTGGAATGTTGCTTGTAATAAGCCTAACAATTGTAGCTGAATGTCAAAATAATCATGCAGGCACAAATCAACTTGAGCCACACACACACACACACACACACACACACACACACAATGATTATGGTGGTAGCACCACCAGTCAAATGAATTTTTAAATTCGCTTTTTTCGTATATTGATTGTGTAATTTTCTGAAAACCGACCGATTTCCAATGAATTTGATAAAGTTTGAATGATAAAGGTTATCTTCACTGATGCGTAAACATATTAAACCTGTATAATTTATGAATATTCATTACTATTTTTGGTAGAGTCGATTTAGCAAATAACAGTCATGGAAAAGGTAAGAAATTATCTATACCCATAAATTATTTGTTTATTTTGTAAATTATATAGAATATAGAATGTCTATTAACACACTATACCAATATCATTTAAAAAAAAACACACATATATAACACTTTGAATATAAAGGTTATTTTTTTTAAGTGCACTGTAGGCACAGTGTATGACCAGACAATAAAAATGTAACACTTTAAATACATATATGTGTTTATTTCATTATTGTTGTCTCAAGTAAATCCTACTCATACCTGTCTTTTTCCAAAAAGTCCGAATCTACATTTCCCCGAAAGTAAGGACAAGAAACAAATATCTGGCTGAATGCAAACTGAACTGAAGACATCGCTTAGCAAGTTCGAATTAACTGGATGTCTTTTAATAGCAGTTTATTATTAAATTTATTATTTTTCGGAAAATCAAGTAAAAAATTAATTTTTACACAATCAACATACTACATACTACAAACGGTCTAATTGATTAGTTTAATACAATCGGTATATAATAATGATAACTATACATATAGCAGCCAATCAGTATTGCTTTGCTTATGGATTGTTTGCTTAAACGCATTATAATAATTAGTCCATATTAAGAGACAATTTCTTTATTCGAAATCACATTGCATTGACCAATCTTTAAGAATCACGTTCATTGATTAACATAGCAATGTCACACTATATCCATATAATTTCCATTATTAAGTATTTTAAAAAGTTTACAAATAGACTTTTTTTCTAACTCCGTGTTGTTTATTATTATCGTTTAAGGAAGTTTAAATACTATTAAGGTCACCTGGATTAAACAATTATAAAAATGGCTTCCAGGAAGAAAACGGTAATTGATTAGTTGTTTGTTTAGCGCTGTAGTTTTAAAGCGTGCAAAAGCGTAGGCAAAAATGTCTTCTCTACCAAAAGCCTAGTAACTATCAATAATTGTTTTCTTTTGCATAATTACTAATTATTTTTTAGTTTTAAATATCACAAAGTTTAAGACGCGTTGTATTATTACCCCGTATATGGTGCACGTGTGACGTTGTTAAGGAAACATGCAATTGTTTGTTATATATATATGTCAAACACCATCAAATTCATTAGATAATGCATTATTATCAATTGTATTTTGACCAAGTACTGTTTGACCAACATAGATACTACTTCAATTGTAAACAGAAAGGTACGTTTTACAGCAGTTGGTGGATATCGCTGATGTGGACTATCCATTCCCAATAGTAAGATCCGCTCAGAGGTCAATACTTCAATACTGACATGATTTATGACATACCTTTCAAAAATTGTCCGTTTATAAATTTATAAAATATGAAGAAACTAAGGTTTCAATTCCCTAAGGCAAAGTTGACCTTAAATGGATTTGGGAACTTTTTTTTATATCATTGTGGTAATAAAGCCCTTCAACTGTTTCGGTTCTTATACAAACATATCCCATTGCATGATAACGTTTATTTCATTACTTCTTTCATATATCAATTATTGATGTGATTGATTTCTGGAATGAGAAAACAGAAAATTCGAAATCAATTCGAAACGGTTTTAGTAAATAACAATGTACAGACACATTGCTGTTCAAAGTTTTACTACCGAAGAGAGTATCGCTCATTTTTTATATAGGCTCCATACGTATTCAAATTTATAATCTCAAATCCAGAATTTATCACATATTTTTTAATCAAGTCTCATCAGATATACAATCGGATGACAACAACAAATAATAATAACATTTTTGATGTTCTCTTTAAATGGCTAGGATGGTGGTTGTTAAATCTTTATGTGCATTCATCGTAAAGAAAACCATTTGTTGCACATTTATTTCTGTCTACAGTATAAATGTTTAGGGATCGGAACAAACTTTTATCAAATTTGATAGTAAATCCTAAATGTCTGAAAATTGGCGTTTTCACAATAGATGAATTGAAATGTTGTCTTCAAGAAATATGGAAATGTTTGGATGTAGGACTTTTCGCCCTTAATGTATTTCACATCAGTACCATGTTCAAAATGTCTTTTAAAATTCACAGTATCAAAGCATCATATGTGTAGTTAATATAAAACTTTTTCTTCGTATTTTTATCTAAAAAATCAAGTTCAGATTTAGTTACGTCACAGACAGAGATGCACAACATAAGGGAAATCAAACAAGTTCTGCATATTTTTCACCAAAAGACACTTGAAGACCTTTTTTTTGGTCAACTGCAAGTTTTTTTGACATGTTATGTAATTCTGGGTTGCTTATTATTGGTGAATAGCCCGCATCCCCTTTTTTCATGTTAAAGGATACAAATGCGGTAGAGATGTAATGCACGAAGTCATTCTAATTAATGGACTCTAGAGTCACTTCTACTTTCTCAAATCATAAGGTAAAGTGATATTTCATGCAGTTAATTTTTGTTTAGTTTAGTAATTTTGCAATATATCAACTTCATTCGGGCATAGAGTATACATTTCCTAATACATACGATATCCAAGAGTTTGCAGCTGCTATTCAGACTTTGTAAAACGTCATCGGTGTCAGAGCAATAACTTAATGCGCCAAAGTTCGTCAAAAGACGTCTCATCCTTTTTCTCAAAAAGTTCATCGGAAAGTACCATGGCCTAATAGATAAATATGCAGTGTCTACTTCACAAATAATACAAGATCACCTTGAGTTATAGATTCTAGGTGGTGAAATGTATCAAAGGGTTTTTACGCTGCTTTTCTATTTTGTTTATTTTTGTATTTATATTTACATAATTTTTACCTTATCGAGAACGTGTATACTATAAACGGTATGTACTATCAACGACAAAAACATATTTTTGTTGACGTCATTGTCATTTTTTTTTGTCGGCGTCTTTGTTAGATTGATTTGTATGTTAGTTTGATTTTTTGTTAAGTCAGTGGTGTTGTATGTCTGTGATGTATGTTTACACATCTTTGACTGCTGGATCCCAATTATTGTCACATTAATTACATTAACCTATTATGTCTGTTTGGGTTGCTCACCAAATTTTGTCAATAAAACGGAACTATAAACAACTGTCATACAGGTGGAAGTTAAGCTAACTATAAAACCAGATTTAACCCCCCATTTTCTTCGGAAAATGCCTGTTACAACTCAGGACTATGGCAGTTGTTTTTCACTTGTTCTGTTGATTGACAGCGTTTGATGTTTTCAGTTTTTATGGACTTCCCCTTTTTGAATTTGCCTTGAAGTTCTGTATTTTTGTTATCCCTTTTTGACTGAGTAGATTGATGTAAATAGAAATATTCTTCTCTTTTTAGAAAACAAAGAGGACTTGGTCTTGCATAATAAAAGAAGCCAACAATTTTAATTTGGTCCTCAACGTTTCTCATTCAAAAAATCTTGTTTTCGATATCATTTACCTATTAATTTATGATTCTGCGGGAGCCTTATTTACAAACGTATTTGCTAAGACATTACAGTCAGGATTTACGATACCAATTGCAGATGTGCTTAGACAATCGGAATACAAGATTCAGTTATACGGATTGAGAAATATCACTGTTGGTAGACACCAGTATGATAACGTTGTATGCTACGGTGAAAGTGAATTTAAAGGTGAAGTAATAGTGATTAAAATATAAAAAGAACGAGTAAAGCATCATTCCTGCGGAAAAAAACCAACACAAATAAATACGAAAAACCCACACACACAAATCTGTTCAAAACCCAATTGATAACTAATACATAAGTAATGTTTTTCCTACACCAAAGTATAAATCGGTAGACCTTCAACGGATTAAGCATAAAGATGTCATAAGCAGGCTTCAAAAACCATGATATTGTATATAGTAATGAAGGTAAGTAGACTGATGAATTTGTCTAAAGCTGGTAGTTAATGTGAGCCGGAGAGAAAACACTCATCAGTCTATAAGGGATAGAACCAATAGTAGATGCCCGGTCCGAAAGAGCATATAACAAAGTCGTACATATTTTACACAAAATAGTTCCTGCGCATAACTGTTACTTTGTAAATAAATAAAATATTTGGGTAATGTTGGTACCAAAATGAAAGCTCAAGGGCTTGAGATTATTGTAGAACCCTTGTTGGAAGTTTCCTTTGAATAAAAATAAATATAATGGAATTTAGATAGGAGGGCATATTTTATCTGTTGCTCAAAACAGAAGTACTTGTATTTGTACTTCTAAACTTCCGGCATTGCGATCTTATATGCATTTAAAGGTATGTTGAATTTATTAGCACAAGCTAGGATAAAGTATAAGTATGAGTTGTAATGACTGTCACTTTATTTAAACTTAAGAAAAAATAGTTATGAATGCTAGAAATTGACAAACTTAACATAGAAAGCAATTGGGTTATACATTGGCGGTTTTATTCCATAAATGTAAATAATTGTCAGTACTGATAAAGATCAATTCAATTCAAAGATCTACAATTGATATTATATTTATTCGTGATCATTTTTCTATTACAGTAGCAGCTGTTGAAAAACGAAAAGACCTCATAGTTGTCTTGGATGCCGAGCGAGATGCAAAGCTACCAGGTGAATTAAATTCTCAGGTAATAAAACATTTTACTTGTAATAGTGGAAAGACAAATCAAGAAAAAGTCGCTTATTGTAAGAGTTTAATGGACCGACATACCTCACGGCTGAAAATCTACATGATGATAGAGTAAACATTATACTTTCATTTTAGCCTTGTCGTAGAATTTTCCGACGGTGCAGTTTTTTGTGATTTTCCAATTTTTTTTATTTTTCATTATCAAACACGGGAACGCTTATAATTAATTCCTGAATGAAGATATCAGCAAATATTTGCTATGAAATGAAAGAGTAATATATCAGCTTTCATTTAATATCAAAATCAAATACCATACGAAAATACACATATAGTAGATTTGAAGAATTTCAATTGCCTGTGACATTTTTTTCAATCTTACCGTCTGTCGAAGTATATTAAATTTCTTACATACATCACCCGTTGTTGATTTTGACAAAAAATAGTGGAAAACCCAATACTTAAGAAGTTTTTATGTATCAAAGTTTGATAGAACATACAAATCAACTTTTAAAAGCATTTTTATAATACTCATCCTATAGCAGTTTTACTATTCAATATTCACATCAATAAGTCATGTTGCGCTCCCTTTACCTATTTTCCTCTGACTTATGAATTGCTGTGTTTTTCACAATGAATTAAATATACATATTCTTAATTTTTGTAAATAAGAATATAGATTTGTATCAATGTTTGTGTCTCGATGTTTGAATAAGTACAGATGTAAAGGTTTAATAACTTTTGAGGTGTTTTATCCTTGTTGAGTACTAGTAGACTAATTAATTTTAAACCACATTGGAACACATCCGAATTAATCCGGAAAATAATGGGCAGTGCTAATTCTATTAGATAAGAACAAGTAAAGTAGCTAAGGTCGTGTTATAAAGCCTATACATGTACAAGAAGAATACATTTTGATATATTTGGATTAGGGAAAAACCAATGCTCAACAGCGTGTGATGATGAATCAACTTTCGTTCAAACACACGTTCCATAGCATTACCGTTAGAATGGTCCAAATGTTTATTCTTCAGACAAAAGTCATACAACGAGATAAACAATTAAGGCATGTCGAGTCATTTGAGCTTGCAAATTATGTTTTAAATGACGTACATTACCAGGCAGACTATCCAATGTTAAGTTTACTCTCCATAGATTTCTCCAAGGACAAGGCGCTGCATCATTCAGCATGCATTGTAAATACTGGCTGAAATGAAAAAAATAACTTGCTTCTGGTGCTTCAAATCAGTCGGAGCATGAAGTTGCTTTCCACAAACTAACAAAAAGACCCAAGTCAGGAGCCTGTTGTTCAGTGGTTGCCGTTGGTTCATGTCTGTCATATTTGTTTTTCGTCAATTGTTTTGTTGTAGATTAGGCCGTTAGTTTTCTCAATTGAATTGTTTCATATTTTTCATGCCGGGGCCTTTTATAGCCGACTATACGGTATAGGTTTTTCTCATTGTTGAAGGCCGTACGGTTGCCTATAATTGCTTACATCGACTTTATTTGAACTTTGGTGGATAGTTGTCTCATTGGCAATCATACCTCATCTCCTTATTTTCATATTATAATGATGATAAAATTGAGAATGGAAATGGGGAATGTGTCAAAGAGACAACAACCCGACCACAGAACAGACAACAGCAGAAGGCCACCAACAGGTCTTCAATGCAGCGAGAAATTCCCGCACCCGGAGGCGTCCTTCAGCTGGCCCCTAAACAAATATATATACTAATTCAGTGATAATGAACGCCATACTAAACTCCAAATTGTACACAAGAAACTAAAATTAAAAATAATACAAGACTAACAAAGGCTAGAGGCTCCTGACTTGGGACAGGCGCAAAAATGCGGCGGGGTTAAACATGTTTATGAGATCTCAACCCTCCCCCTATACCTCTAGCCAATGTAGAAAAGTAAACGCATAACAATACGCACATTAAAATTCAGTTCAAGAGAAGTCCGAGTCTGATGTCAGAAGATGTAACCAAAGAAAATAAACAAAATGACAATAATACATAAATAACAACAGACTACTAGCAGTTAACTGACATGCCAGCTCCAGACATCTGTTTGTGAAAAATAAGCATTTTCGTTGTCGTATAATTTGCTAGATACATATTTTTCCTTTCTTCCAGACCCTTCATGATTCGGAAAAAATTGTGAAAAGCAGTTTACGATCGTTCGAATTTTCAAATTATTACAATCCATTTCCGTCAATATTTAGTATTCCAACAGCTTTACAATTTATTCCTAACTCTCTGATAAATATTTTTGCCTAGTTAGTAGATGACAATTATTTTCATGGATAATGATTACAATGCACTCTCATGTGGTACTGTACGGAAATGTATACCTTTAGCTGAGTGTGTGATATCCCTGCATTAAAAACCAGTACACCCCTGATCAGAGATGGTATGGATATTGTACAAAGTATTTATGTAAAAAGGTACAACAGTTTTTGAGATTTGGTCAAGGACGCAATTAAAACTCCAATAGCTTGTTTTGAAAACTTGGGGTGTGTCGTGGACGTGTTTGATCGATATGATGTGGAACATTCTACAAAATCAGCAGAAAGAATAAGGAGGTCTATTTCAAATGGTGGTAGATCTAATGTTTTTTAAATTAGTAAAGGCAGATTAATTAGAAATTGTAAGAAATTTCTTTGAGCACCCGAAAATATACAGGGGTTGATAAGATTTGTAGGTGACTACAATGATTTTGATTTGGAAGACCATGACGAAATATTACTAGCGGAATCTTTTTTAAATTCTATAGACTGTGAAAAAATTTTGTGCCGGATCTGTAAGTGACTGAAGAGGCAGATGTAAGAATAATTCTGCCGTCTCTGTTTGCTTATGAACAGATGGTAAAAAAGGTAAAAGTTATTCCAGGGGTCGCATTATATCAAAATCATCAGACACTTATGTTTTTTTTCTAATTATATATATATATATATATATATATATATATATATATATATATATATAATAAGATATTTTCCTCAGATGTCACACATGATGAATTGTGGTTTCAGACTGGAAGCGTTTCTTCAACCAAAGACGCAAGACGGTTTTTACCTGTTCACGACATCTGCACCTTTTTTATTTATTGGAACACTGATGTCTGGAACACTACCAGCTGCTCACACTATTACAGGACGCGACATGTCTTCATTAATCGGAACTGGCAAAAAGACAATTATAAGGCGTCGAAACAAAACCCATGCATGTATCAAAGTTTGTCAATCTAGCTGGTTCTAAAATTGACACATCTGTTGCAGTGAAAAGTCAATTCATCGCGGATCTATATGACCCCAGAAGCAATGTTCAATCAGTACATGGTGATCTGAATAAATTCAAGAGTGAACTCGGCGCTTTCTAAGAATGCTTACTTAGTGAGGCTACCTCCTTCAGATGCATCATTCAGACAGCACATTCTTCGAGTTTCACTCTAAGTGTACGTCTGGATGAATGCTTATACCGCCAAACCACCACTTAGGTCACCTTTAGAATATGGATATTGGGAATAGCTCCATAGTTTCAGTATACTAGTATTTTGAATCCAATGTCCTCTGACTTCTTACAGGATCTTGTTTGTACATGTAAAGGCAAAACTATTTGTAGCTAATCTTGCGTATGCTACCGAACAGGATTTGTCGTGCACCAGCATTTGTTGTTGTCAGGGCAGTGGTGATTGTAGGAACCAGCTTACTCATCAAATTGATTGAGCAGATTAATGCCCAATATTTCATGTTTTCTGATGTTAGCGGCCTCCGAATTGATGTGGCTGGGGATATCTCTCTCTCTCTCTCTCTCTCTGTCTCTCTCTCTGTCTCTCTCTCTCTCTCTCTCTCTCTCTCTCTCAAAAACAAAACAAACCAAACAAACAAACCTGTCAGTGGTCTTGGACCTTGACGCGGTTGGTGCGCTTTCTAACTAACTGGAGATATTTTTGTATCGAATATTTGTATCGGAAGTATTACATACCATGACATCCGTTTATTTTTTGTTGTTGTTTTCTTGGTATTCCGTTTCCTCTTCAAACGGATGTGCATATTGATGTCGTGTTAGTGTAATGTATACCTAAACAGATTCCTTTGTAGCGTAATATCTCCGTGAATCGTGTTTGTTTGAAACTCACATATTTATCGGGCTTTCAAATCGGTTTTAGTCATGTCTGCTATATATTTCATTGTTTGTCTTGTTTTATAAAAAAGGGGACACAAGTTCTCAATATGCTATTGTTCATGTACTTATTGGCCTATTAACATAAAAAAAAACCTTCATATACTATCGTGTTCATGCTGACATTTATGCATCAAGACTATTTTTTATAGTTCCAACATTCTTTTGGGTTTAAATAATCAATAATGAATTTCATCATTTTTTCATTAAAACATTGACCGGGTGTTAACTTTACAGTACTTATTTCTTAAATGTTGGAAGCGCGGGGGTTTACATCACTTATCTCTGGCAATCAGGCATAAATATGAATATGATTCCATAGAAAAATCTTCTCGGTTATCATGAGGGACTACCGAGAAATTGTCCAAAATGTCCAAAAATTGAGATTTTTTAAAATCCCCCCTTTTGACCTTTGACCACAGTTTTCAAAAATCTGCATCACTTTGGCACCCTACGACATGCCTTAATCAAAGGGTATTATATTTATCTTCAAAATAAGACCAAAATAAGTGAGATATTTCGGTCCATTAAATTTTAAAATCTACCAAACTTGTCACCGTACTATGATTGAAGTAATAATATCTTCCGAAGAAATGAGGGGTATAAGATAGAAACTCTTTTTTGGAAAATTCAAGCATTCATAACTATTTTGTCTTTAGTTTTATAAAAGTGACAGTCATTACATGTCATAATTATATTTTATCATAGCTTGTGCTGATAAATTCATCATACCTTTAATTGCATATAAGATCGCAGTGCCGGAAGTTTGGTAGTACAAATACAGGTACTTGGACTTCGGTATTTTTGTTATTTTACTTTTTTCGACAAAAGAAATGATTACAGCTTCCCAGTTTTGAACTTCCCATTTCCCATTCCAGCACCACCTGCATATGGAGTATATATTTCCCAGTCAGTACGATATTCCAGAGCTTTCATTTCCTATCATGATTTCTTTGATAGATTGTTGCTGCTCTAAAGGAAGCTATCAAACAACGAGTGCCAAGTATTTAAGTTGAAATCATGACTTTGAAAATTTACAGATGGCATCAAGAGTTATTTACCGTCATGGAATATCTGTTTCACAGATGACGATGGACATGCTCCAATTGTTGGCACTACACTCCCGTCCTCTTTCCCTCGAATGTGACCTACCAGGATCTGCTTACCCGTACGGAGCACATGAAATCCCCCCTCCCCTACGGTTTTTGATGGAGTTGGTGTTGCTCAGTCGTTAGTTTCTTTGTTGTGTTTTGTATACTTTTATTTGTCTTTTGATCGTTTTTCGTTTATTGCCATGGCGTTTTCAGTTTGTTTTCGACGTATGAGTTTGAAATGTCCCTTTGGTGTCTTTAGCCTTTCATTTTCGCTCTGATTGTTTGCCAAAAATATGAATCTCCTTTCCATGTAATCAGGTTTTGATTGTTTCCTTAATATGTTTTCTGATTTTAACATCGGTTAACTGCTGTTGCCTAAGTTCATGTCTATTAGATATATGATATATAGATATGAATTTGACAATACTTTGGTATCTACCGCTTCTCTTATAATTTTCGACGCATTTTTAGATATCATTTTCACACTATTCCTGTGAAATATATGGATGTATGCGGTATGTTACCTAGCAATACATTTATATTCATTTTCCCGTTTACCTTTTTTTTTTTTGGTGTTATGTATGTTCCTCTATTTTCAGTTAACCACGAGAGAAAGGTGTTCAATCTTGGACAAAACATTTTACAATTTATCAAGGATAGTATAGACATAAATTGAACCTTTTTGGATGGTTTTACAAATTAAATTATTAATAAATAATAAGATTAATTTGTTGATCAGTGAATATGGAAGTCTACCATTATAATATAACGGACAAATAAATAAAACAGTGTATTTTTCTTTTGGGGGTTTAACATTTTGAACGAGCTTATCGGTGTTAATTTGATTAAGTTGTGCAAATAGGAAAATAAAATAGTTTTATCAAAATATATTTACTTACTGAATATCATTATTTTTTTAATTCATTTAGGGGACATTACCTACTCTGATTCATCGTCATCTGCCAGATAAATATGCCATAGAAACGGAATGTGTGTACATCGAACCAGTAGTGTTTCTGGTCTTCATTAAACATGGTAATACAATATCTATTTTCAACTCATACAAAAGGCACTTAGAATATGAAATCCCGATCGATCTCCCGTCAGCAATCGTGGTAAAATGCAGAGTTTTAGCAACATGCCGGAAATCAATTGAAGAAAGAAAGTATTTTACTTCAAGAACCACTGCACACAGCAAAATAATTGACTTCAAAACATGTAAGGATAGTAACATTTTTAAATGTACATTTTAAGAATGCTATATAATATGTATTTCTATCTACCTCCAACTGCAATTCCTTTGTTCATCGTAACTCATCGTTTGCATACAAAAATCTATGGTTGATGATACTTTGTTTTGAAAAGTAACTGATCAACAGACCACTGATTAAAAAGATTTAAAAAAGAGACAGAAAATACCAAAGGGGACATTCAAAACTAATTCGTCGAACAGAAACTTACAAAAGACGACGCATAGACCAACCAGTCCACAATACACTAAATAGAAAGCTAAAGACGGAGCAACACTTACCCCACCATAAATGTGGGGTGATCTCATGTGCTTTTGGAGGGTAAGCAACTCCTGTTCACTAGTTGCACCGGTCATGTTGTTCATGCATGGTTAGAACAAATTCGGTGATAAGTCTAATTCGGTGATGTCACACTCAAAGAAAAGAGGACGGGATTGTGGTTACAACAATTGGAACATATCCGTGGTCATCTGTTACATATACATATCCAGTAGAGTCAACCAAGTTGTAATGGCGTCGTTAAAACATAAAGGATGACTTGGAACGCTTCGTTCAATAGTTTCCTTGTAATCAGCAACCCTCTATATTCCATACTTGAAGGAAATCAAAAAAGGAAACTAAAGTTCTGAAAAATTGTATTAACTGGGCGATATATATTCCATATGCAGGCTCTGCTAGAATATTGCTGTATTGAAATGCTTAATATTGCTACTAAGAAATGGAAAGTTCTCAGTTTAGAATCTGAAAACATCCCATTTGTCGAATTATTTTGTTCTCAACCGACCCTCCTTGTCAATTTCTAGATGTAAGTCAATATATTTGGCAGACCTAACTGTGTCCGTGGTATCCTTGATTTCAATTCCGATTGGATGAATGGTTCAACATAGTCACCATACTTTAAATCATTTAGTGAGAGGATATCATCTACTAGAATATAGCGGAATGTTTAGTTTAAGGATAATGATAGCTTCTTTTCATTATCGCTGTGAAGGTCATGTATGCAGTCAGCCTCAAATAGATACAGGAACAAGTCGGCAAAAAGGGAGCAATGATGGTTCCCATGGTAATGCCGATTATTTGTTGAAATACACGTTTTCCAAACGTAACACATACTCTGTCAATAAAAATAAATCAAGTATGATATGTTGATGATGTCAGTTTCACAGAATGTTTTGTTTGAATCAGAGAGTGGTTTTTTTTTAAAGTTTATTTGGATATTTATAGTATCCACATTTGATTCATATTGCATCTAGAGTAGGTATTTCAAATAACTATATGAAGATTTGTGTTGATTGCTGATAAAATTGATGTTAATAGTTTCGAATGAGGTTTTGTGGAGTACTTGGTACACAACCAATTTGCTAGTCTGATAACTTCTTATTATCAAACAAGCAACAATCAATCCTTTTTATTCGATAAGACACTAATAACTATTCACATTTAACGTTCAGAAATAGTTTGCGAAAACCAATAGTTATGGGAAATGTACAATTGTGAATTTGTGAGGTCTTGTTAATTGAAGTTATGCTTACAAGTGATTTTATCACAGTCTTGCTGAAGTAACGTTTTGGTTAAAAGTATACATGTATTAAAAAATATGTGTAGACATGGTATTTCTAATTTTATTTGCAGAATGTTACATACATTCACGATGAAACGCGCGTCTGGTGTTCACAATATAAGCCTGGTATCTCTGATGATTTTATTTATACCACTAATAAGGCATTGTTAAAGCATAATCTTTAAGATGAAAATTGTTATTAACAATTTAAGAAGACCATATATACTAATGTTATCAATTTGGAGGTTGCGTAGAAAAGGGACATCGAAATATAAAAATAATTAGTTATTCTTTGAAAATACATATTTATACCTTATGATGCACTGTATCGTATTTGACTATCTAAATAACTTGTTTTTAAATTTTTTTAGTGTTTACCAAAGTAGATGTTGATATGCTGTATCAGTTGGCCTTATCATTTGGAACACGAAATGGAAACTCAGGTTTACGTCCGATTCGTTATTTCTACAGAAATAAAACAGAAGAATATTTTATGATTATTAGACTTCACACTAATGGAGAAATGCGACCATATCTAAAGAATCATGGAGCTGAACAGGGATCAGTGTTAAACGGAAGAGTGAAAGGCTTATTTTTCAGTACTTTAGTTGACAAAACTACGAACAGACCACAACCATTTTCACATTACGGACCTGTGCGATTGTACGTGGAAGCTCAGTTAATGTGTAACCCAAAATGTAATCTTTATTTCTCTGATTTTTATTGTCATAACGTAAAGCATCACCTGACAGTGGTATTGATGCCTAAATCATCTCCTTGCAATGAGCTATGCCGGCAATACCTTCTTCAGTTAGACATATACAATAATCCATATCTTCGTGTATTTCGCTTTCCGAATGGATCATCTTGTGTTTTAGCAAACATGGATATAATTGTAGAAATATTTTACACAGAAATTGTAAACGTTTCACACATTTTAGAATCTGGTCGCGGTTACATGGTGAGAACGCCAACAATTGGACGTGGTTTTGCTCCATCTTCTGGCATTCCGAAGAAATCAACGTGCAAAATATGCAATATTAACCGCATATCTCCTAGTGAAAAGAACGAAAGACAAAATATTTGAAAATATGTCTTATGATTAAACATAAAACAAAAATAATTAATGCTAATAAATATACAATAATTTGTATTTAGTCTATATGATATCAAAAATATATCATATTTGGTATTTTATAACCTATTTGTTCTTTTATAAATAGTTTCTCTTAAATTCAGTCCTATCTTTTTAAAGTCTGTCAAACTTGATACAGAACAGTTTATCCCGCAAAATTATAGCATTATCTTCATTCCAGACAAACTTCGTATAAATGGTTTAAAGGGCGCGTCCTAAGTAAAACTTCGAGAAGCCGACGAACCCTTTATTAAAGAAGCGCAGGCTAATTTATTGCAAAGAGGAAAAAGAAAAAGTGAAATCATGTTCCAAAATATTACATCTCAAACTAAAGATTTAACAAAGTAATCCCTAAAAAACTCATCAAAGATATGAGGCTTATAACAGTCAGTAGGGTAAAATCAAATACGAAATTGTAAAGCTTTACATAACGAAAATCCTAAATGGTTGTAACAAATATGGCTAAGGTAATCTAGACATATGGGTAAATAATTTCGAATAATTCAACATTTTATATAGCAAATTTACAGAAAATGAACATAGTCTTAGATACATGATTTTGTTACTAGTTGTTATTGGCTTTGAACTAGCTGTCAGTAACTGCGAGTACGCTCAGATATGTACTTAGTGTCTTTTTTGTTGTTGGGATGTATAAGTGCCACGTCCGGTCTGTGTTTTTGTTAGATGTATTTCTGCTTTGTATCGATCTGATGAGTTAAGCCCTTTTCAACAGATTTTTATAGTGTGTTCTTATGTTGTACTGTTACACCACTGTCCAAGGTAAGGGGGGTGGTTGGTGCCTTCGAACTAGTTTAACCCCTCCACATTTTGTGTTGCCTGTCCCAAGTCAGAAGCCTGTAATTCAGTGGTTGTAGTTGGTTGCTGTATATCATATTTGTTTTTCGTTCATTATTTTGTACATAAATCAGGCCGTTAGTTTTCTCGTTTGAATTGTTTTACATCTGTCCTTTCGGGGCCTTTTATAGCGGACTATGCGGTATGGTTTTAGCTCATTGTTGAAAGCCGTACGGTAACCTATAGTTGTTAATTTCTATGTCATTTGGTCTTATGTGGAGAGTTGTCTCACTGGCAATTATACCATATCTTCTTATTTTATATACCATTGACAATTTATGTTTTTGATTTTGTAAATATTGCCGGTATTTTTAATGATCATTCTGTTAAAGAACATATTCCTGGCTATTTTGATAATACTGAACTTCCTCTTATTTGTTATATTTACAAAACATCTACCCGGAAATATGTGTTTAATTATAGCGAAGTGTGTAAAGATGTTAATATCAGTGACAATACACCTACGTCATGAAATTGCAGTAATTCCGAATACATTTATGACCCCAGTTCCCATGTTGAAACAGGAGACCTTAACATCGTTCATGACCGAGAGTTGAAATCATTCCTCAGTAAAGGAACTAAATATCGTACCCCGTCAATTATTTATTGGAATGAGCGTCGTAACATCATCCACAACTCACTCCGTACTTACTGCTCGAAATGGATAAAACGAGAAAAAGCTGACAAATAATCCTTAGATTCTTTTTTTAATTCAGTAATGAACATAGTTGATATTTGTATTAAACATTTTAAAGAACATTTTACTCTTAACAACAACCATAATAGCCCTATTTCTCGTATCAAACATAAGCTAAAAGAACTCGCCAAGGAATATGTTTTTGTCCCGGCTGATAAGGCTGCTAATAATATCATTATTGTTTAACGTACATTTTACATTGAGGTTCTTCAAAAGGAAATCACGATTTCACCAACATTCAAACTGACTCCATTTTCGGAAAATGACATCTGTAACAAACATAAACTTTTAGCTACTTCTTTACAAGCAGAACCAAATACAGTGAAAGTTCCAACTATGTACTGGCTTCCGAAGCTGCACAAAACACCTTACAAATATAGATTTATTTCGTCTTCAAGCCATTGTTCCACTACTAAACTGTCTATTCTACTTACAAGTACACTTGGTACAATCAAAAACCTGGTAATAAATTTTTCAAATAAGGCCTTTGAAAATAGTGGAATTAATTACTTTTGGAGTGTTAAAAATTTCGTTGGAAGTACTTGATAAATTGCATGCTTATATTGGTGGTTTCGAATATGTTCAAAGTTTTGATTTTTCTACCCTATATACCACTTTGCCTTATAAACTTATTAAGAAAAAATTCACACACCTAATTAAATGGGCATTTAAAAGGTCAGAATGCGAATATATATGTTCTAACTCTTTTAGGTCATTTTTTTAGTAACAACAGACAAAAGAACTATGTCAATTGGACCTGCTTTGATACGATAACTGACCTAAAATTTTAACTAGATAACATTTTTGTTCGCTATGGAGATTCTGTATATCGTCAAGTTATCGGAATTCCAATTGGGACTAACTGTGCACCACTTATTGCAGACCTGTTTCTGTATTGTTATGAGTTACAACTTATGACTAAAATCAGTAAAGACCCATCTTAACAACATCTGATTCAAAAATTTAATAACACTTTTAGATATTTAGATGATATATTGGCTCTCAATAATGACGACTTCAGTATGTACACTAAAGAGATTTATCCTGCCGAACTGACCTTAAATAAAGCTAATACTAACAATGAACACTGCCCTTTCCTGGATCGTGATATCTATATCTTTAACGGGAAGCTTAATACCAAAATGTATGACAAAAGAGATGATTTTTCATTTCCTATTGTTAATTATCAATTTTTAGATGGTGACGTTCCCTTGTCACCATCTTATGGTGTTTATATATCTCAACTTGTTCGATTCACTCGTGTATGTAACAACGCATTTGATTTTAACGAAAGAAATCTCTGTATTACTGAAAAATTATTACACTAGGGTTTTCGATATCACAAACTAGTCAAAACATTTACTAAATTTTATCATCGGAACAAGGACATCATTCGTAAATATAAATTAACATGCAGACATCTTATACCTTTAGGTATTTCACATCCAATCTTTTATGGTAATATTCTTTACAAAGCACAAAAATTTCGGCATTCACCTCAAAAGCTAACCAAACCTTTAAACAGACTTATTCGGAAGGGATATAGTTACGATACTGTTGTCAAGTCATTAAAGATGGCATATTTTGGTATTAATATTGATTCACTCGTAAGGTCTTTGCATCGGAAATAAACACATTTATTCTAAAACCAGTTGTTAGCATGATACGGGTTATGTTCCTCTCATATATTTTATGATGGTATGATACTAAACCCCTAACGGGAGGGATTGTGCTTGGTTTTCATATGATGAAGACATTATATTTCAATCAGTTTAATTGAGGTCTGGAGCTGGCATGTCAGTAACCGCTAGTAGTCCTTTGTTAATTTATGTATCATTGTCATTTTGCTTAGTTTCTTTTGTTACCTATTCTTACATCGGACTCGGACTTCTTTTAAACTGAGTTTTACTGTGCGTATTGCTGTGTGTTTGTTTATTCTACATTGACTAGAGGTATAGGGGGAGGGTTGAGATTTCACAAAACGTGTTTAACCCAGCGGCATTTTTGCGCCTGCCCCAAGCCAGGAGCCTCTGGCCTTTGTTAGTCTTGAATGTTTTTTAATTTTAGTTCATTTATATGTTTTGGAGTTTAGTGTGACGTCCATTTTCATTGAACTAGTACATATTTTTGTTTAGGGGCCAGCTGAAGCCCGCCTCCGGGTTCGGGATTTTCTAGCTGTGTTGAAGACCCATTGGTGGCCTTCGGCTGTTTTCTGCTCTTTGGTCGGGTTGTTGTCTTTTTGACACATTCCCCATTTCCATTCTCAATTTTATTTGACTCATATTTTATTGATTTGCTTAAAGTTTTACATCTTACCTGCCGCGAAACATCTAATCTAAATAGTTTGTATAAATCTGCCACTATTGGAGCAGGATCTGCTTTACCTGAGATCACCTCAGTTTTTGGTTGGATTCGTGTTGCTCAGTCTTTAGTTTTCTATGTAGGGCTTATGAACTTGTTTGTCTTTTCGTCGTCTTTCTTTGTTTTCCATGACGTTGTCAGTGTTTCTCTCCTCGTGCGAGTTTTGAACCACCCCATGATATCTTCTGTGTATCCATATGTCGATATTGTCGATATCAATAATGTCCACCCGATATCGATGAACTTAATCAATCATGATTTTACTAGATGTCGATTTTATTGACGACACCAATGACAAAACCTGATGTCGATATCGTCGATATTCAAATTAAGACCGAATATAATGATTGATATAGGGCGAGATAATGGCTGAATTGTAATTAATTTATTCTTTCCATTGTAATCATACAAGACAATCAAGTGGTCACATTTCCAAATTACTGTGTCCTTTACAAAACAAATTTCATTTGCTTGTATAACAATGCCATTGTAATTTAGGTAATAACTAGGTGTAGTATGGTTGCATGCAAAGACCGTAAAAAGTACAGATGCAGTACAAACATGACTGTGGAAAATTTAAATTTATGGGATGTAAACTGATTCATATTTCAGGGAAACATGGTTTATTTATTGGTTGAAAATGTATTTAACTTGATTTAAATAAATTCGAGTGCTGTAAGAATGATACATTGTGATTTTGTCTATTTGTTGTTGTGCTTTGTGCCGGTCTGATAGGTCAAGCCCTTTCGAACTGATTTTTACATTTTGTATTGATGCTACACCACAGTTCTCAATTTAAAGAACGGGTAAGCTCATGAACATGTTTCACCCCGCCACATCCTCATTGTGACTGACCCTACTCTGGAGTTCTTTGATTCGGTGGTTGTTGTTGGTTGCTGTCTGCCATATTTCATTTTCGTTTATCATTTATACACAAGTCAGAATGTTTGTTTTTCCCATTTAAGATATTTGACATTTTGTCATGCCTATATAATTGTTGCTCTTTGTTGAAAACTGTACGGTGACCTATTGTTGTTTACATCTTCATCCTTTTTGTGTCTGGATGATATGTCGTCTCTTTGGAAATTGTACAACATCTCGATAT